CCAGAGTGTTGTTCAGCATGGGGGTGAGTAGAAAATGAAGGCTAATCATGTTTTGGGTGTACTATTCCTTTAAATCTCCTTTATAGAACAGCTTTTAAAGTCTAACTTATGTCCTGTTTTATGCTAATATGTTTGTTTTCAGCATAAAATGTTTTGCTGATTGATCTACTGTTGTTTTTGGAATTTTCCCTCATTCTTCTAAAGTGTTTTCAGGTTTTTAGAAAAGCGCTTTGCATAAAATGTGTTATGATTGTTGTTACATTTAAGGAGGTAAGATACTAGCAGCTCAGGAGCTCACAACAGAACCCCACACAGGGTAGAATTTCAAGCATGTTTCTATTGGGAAGGATAATCTAGAACAACAGCTCTAACAATCTTGACGCTGAATAAAATCTAAAACAGGATTCTAATAATAATAAATAGCACTGAAATAACTGCACTGCATTAACCTCAAACTCGTAAAAATGAACCCATAACTTTAATAAAAGGCACCATTTGTCTACAAGGAACTGATGAGGCCTTAAAAAACGTAGTTCTGATTCCACATTTTTGCCTTTGCTGCATGTTTTTACTTCAAGGACCGCTGTCTAGGCTTTCAACAGTCTAAAATAAATTCTCTCTCCCAGGATTTATTTTTTACCAGTCACCAGGGAGCTGTGAAATCTGTTTGAAAGTTGGAGAAAAAGCAAGCAACATTTGAGACTGCTGAAATTGCCCTTCACTGCAAACAAATCAAGCAATGATTAGGAGAAAAAGGTTGAAAGCAGCAAACAGAACCAGCTTGGCTGTAATAAGCAGAACCCCCGAAGCCCCCAGGCTCAGGCACGCCAATTATTCCAGAAAAGATTTGCAGTTAACTGAGGAGGGGGGGGGGGTTAAATAAGAGAAAAGCTCAACAGTTTGTAGTTCCAGATGGATGCGGCCATTTCAGCACCCTGGACAGCGACACAATACCCAGCATAGACAGTATCCACCCAGATCTGCTCCTCCTGGATGGACACGGCTTCTCCACTGTCTAACCTCCATTTTATCACGCAGGCTCATCTTCCTCCCCTGCTGCTTGCTCCTGTTTATGGCTCCACTAATGAAGATTCCTCGCCCATAAAGCTTACAGGGGAAAATGAGGAAAAATAGTCCTACACGTTCATGTCACTCCTGGGACCCTCAGCCTTTCCAGCCACATGGTCGCTTCAGACAGATGTTAAACAGGGCACTGACCCCGTCCTATTAGTTTAGTGGGAATAAATAAATGGAGGAAGAGCTGGAGTTTTGTTTTTGTTAAGGCAGAGGAGTTAAACGACCGGATCAAGACAGGAAATTGTTTTTACGAGGATGACAAAACCAGGAAGCTTCCAAAAAGAGCCACTGAAGGTTAGGTTGGTTCCAACATCAACAGAACCTGAAAGCTGCAAATAACATATTTAAATTATCTGAGTTGAAAAAGGATCCAGTTCAGTTCTCTGGACCTTTCCTACAATTAAAATCCTTCTGTTAGGATGCTATGACTCTAAGCACCACAGTGGGATTCAGAACTGACCCAGAGCTGCAATGAAAGAGCCATGTTCAGCTCCAGTACTCTAGTCTGTGGACAACCTGACCCAGCAGCCACCCTGGCATCAATTCTGATCAGCCTTAATTTTGTTTCTGAAGCAGAAGGATTACTGGTTTGTTCTGTTTGATGGTTGCTTCTTTGGTACCCCTGATTAATTGTTCTTTTTTATTTAACATTTCAAAACATTTCCAATAAAAAAACAGGAGCTCCTTCTGTCAGCCTGTGAGCAGTTTCAGTAATCCAACCTATTAGAGGAGGGTCAACCACACCTCAGCCACTGACTGATCACCCCCCCCAACACACACACACCCACACACAACCAGTCCGACAGAAACAAAGAAATTACCTGGAAGCTCAGGGTCTTGACAAAGTGCTTCAGTGAAAATTTAATGGCCCAATCTCGCCGCACCGTATTGCTCCTCTACAGCGTACAATGTTCTGTCAGCAGTACATTTCCAGAGACATCCCATAACCAAAGCAAAAATAACATGGCTTTCCTTCACTGGGATCTAAATTCACACCCACCCTTAGTTCATTTTCACATCTTTTTTAAAATGGACAAATAAATCCTCTATTATACATAAAGATTTGTTTCATTAAAATACACCACTTTGAAAAAAGGACATTTTCATTTTTCAGAGAGCATCCTTGATAAAATAGATGAGTGCAAAGGCACTTTCTGGATAATGTTAAGATTTGCCGCTTGTTGGATTTTTGAGATCGCTTTAGCTTGATGTCTGACTACTCAGCTCTGTCTGTGTCGGCTACATATGTACAGGAATGTCCGTCTGCAGCGTCACTCCTACAAACACTGAGGATGCTCTCCGCCTGGACATGATCAGATGACTGAAAGCACACGTTACACAGTTCTGTCCTTTACATACCTTCCGTTCTCCAAGTCCTTCAGAATATTTATCTTTAAGAAATAAAGCCAAATAATTTATATTTTTTCAGGATGAAAATAGAACTGCATAATAATATACTTCTTATATTCCCTTTATACAGCTGGAAAAGAAGAACAGAAAAGGAGAAAAGCGATGAAGAGCTTTAGTTCAGCTCCAGTCCTTCAGGTGGGACGAACACCATTAGATAAGGTAGATATATGGGGGTGGGGGGGCTGCCCGGGCAGCATCAGGTTGTCCCTGCCTTACAGCTGGCTCATGGCAGTCTGTTTCTCCAGCACCTCCAGGTAGTCCGGCTCGGCTTTTAGTTTGCAAGGCAGCAGTAGTGAGGGGTGCTCGTTGTTTTTGGAGACGTGTTCGGGTCCAAAGTATTTCCTGGGAGTGCCATACAGCACAGTTTTGTTCAACCTGTCCTGGTTGGTCACGTGTCTCCGGGCCGTGGCGGCCTCGTAGGGGGGCACGATGCAGGGTCTCTTAGGCAGCGTGCAGAAGTTGTAGGTGAAGGGGGGGGCGCCTGCTGCTGCAGGGAGCTCCTTGTTAGGCCTCTCACCAATGTTCTGGTAGAGCATCTCTGGAGGCTCCTGGCTGGCCAGGCCACACGTTGGGGATTTCTCCATAAAATCCACACTGCTGATTGTGTAGGCTCCTGGGCTGCGGCTTAGGATGTCCCCCTTTTTTACGTCCAGGGGCCCAAAGCTGAGCTCCTTCAGGTTTCGGTAATAGGCCACCTGCTCACCGTCCTTCTGCATGTAAATGGGGTTTTGGCACATGGAGCCCACAGGTGGGGGGATGTAGTTGTACACGTGGCTCTCCGAGCTTTTGTCATGTATTGGCTCTGGGGTGTAGGAGCCGTACTGCACTTGGAAAGAGTTGAGATCCAGATTGTTGGCCCCTGTTGGGACATGCTCTACCCCTTTGCGTCGCTTCAGGACGAAAACAAAGAGGCCTGCACCGAAGCACACGGACAGGATGAAGACCACAAGAAGGCCGAGGATCAGGACTGAGAGGGGCACCTCCGGGTGCAGCTCTGGGGCCTGGAGGTGGGAATCTGTGGGGCTCACTGAGCTGAAAAAAGGGGAGGGGGACGGAGAAAGTGGGGTGGTGGCCTCAGTGGGACTTATCACTGTTGGGGCCTTTGTGGGAGGGGGCAGCTGTGGAGGAGGGGGCTCACTGGGCTCGGGGCAGATGGCCTCGTTGCGGAGTGAGCGCAGCAGCCGCCCTGCGTGCTTAGACGGAGAGTCACAGGTTATTTCATTGACCACCACGCTGGTGCTAGACAGCTCCATCCAGTTTTTTAGGGCCACAATGTTGCAGGTGCAGTCCCAGGGATTCTCCTGCAGGTCGATCTGGATGAACGCCGACAGGTGGTCCAGAACACCTTCAACCGGAAGGTAAGAGAAGTGATTGTTCCTCAGGTTGAGTCGGGTGAGCATGGTGCCCGCAAAGACATTGTGAGGGAGAGATCTCAGCAGGTTGTTGTTAAGGAAAAGCAGCTGCAGGTTGTGCAGAGAGTTAAATGTCTGTGGTAGAATTTCTTTTATGATGTTATATTCCAGATAAAGATACTGCAGGGACTGCAGACCAGCAAACAGGGACTGCGACAGAGACTCGATGTAGTTCCCATTCAGGTAGAGGCGCCTGAGGTTGGTCAGGTTCTCAAAGGCTCCATCCTGAATCACTGCGATTCGGTTGTTCCCTAAATGCAGCAGCTCCAGGGAGCTGTACTCAGTCAGATCCAGTCTGTAGATCACCTGCAGGTAGTTCCCAGTCAGGTGGAGCTTCCTGGGGTAGGTGGGCTTGGGGGTTAGTTCACTGATGTTCTGTAGCTTTCTTTCTTGACAGTTGATGTTCAGTCCACTGTCAGGGTTTTGTGATGTGCAAACACACACACTGGGACACAGCATGGGGACAGGAGAACGGGTTTGGTAGACCATTATGGGTCCAAAGACGTTTCTGTCTTTCGAGAGGCGGGGAGTGGGCCTGTAGCGCATTTTGGGGGGCCGGGATGCTTTAGGAGAGCGGGTGGGGCTGACGACACCAGCGTGGTAGGTGGGGTGTGGGGCCCCTTGGAAGTGAGAGTCTGAGGCTGTCTGCGCCCGTTCCCCAGCGTTCCTGCGGGGGCACAGGTCCTGCTTGATGAGCTGAGTGATGTCCTTCCCGTGGAGCCTGAACGGCGTCTCACACACGATGTCCCCTACAAAGACGGAGATGGTGTCCAACCAGGACTTGAGGGGGATCAGGTCACAGGTGCAGTTCCACGGGTTCTCCTCCAGCTGGATCTCCATGATGCCGCCAATGTGCTCCAGCACCCCAGCAAATGGCAGCATCTTCAGACGATTGCCACGTAAATCCAGGTGGGTGAGGAGCACAAAGCGGAAAATGTTTGGAGGCAGAGCCAGCAGCAGGTTGTCGTTAAGGATTAACACTTTGAGCTTGTTCAGCTTGCTAAAAGCACCAGGCTCTATGCTGCTGATGTAGTTGTAGTCTGCCTGTAAATATTCCAAACTCTCCAGCCCTGCAAAGGTGTCCTCTTTGATCACCTCCAGGTTGTTATTGTTCAGGTGGAGGCGCTTGAGGAAGCGAAGTCCACTAAACGCTCCAGTCTGAATTTCCTGTAAGCCGTTATTTCCCAGATGCAGAGACGTAACGTTGCCATAGCTGATGAACTCGTTGGCGCTGAGCCTTGACAGGAAGTTTGCGTTCAGAAAGAGCTGTGAGATCTTGTTGGGGGGAGCCTGCAGCTGGCTGACCGTGGTAAATCCCTTATTCTCACAATTGATGTTCAGCACATTCTCCCGCTCCTCGCAGTCGCAGCGTGTCTTGCAGATGTCTTTGAGGGCTGAAGTTTTGCGGCTCTGCGTTTCAGACGGTGTCAAGCTGGTGACGGTGAGGATGCTCAGAAACAGGACGCCGCTCAGCATGTTTACTGCCCGCAATATAGATCCAGCATTGAACTTTGCAGCCTGAGCATCGGGCACAAAAAGGGAGGGAGCGGGTTCCCACAGGCGGGAGAGGGGAGGAAGAGGAGGCAGGAGCGGTCATATACGCACCAACACACACAGGCGCGCGGGACAAAAGGCACACCCCCGATGTATGCAGTTAAAAAGATATCATGACGCACCAGGATGACCTTCAGCTGAAACTGAAGATACAAAGAAAAAAAAAGATCAATCCTGAGGAGGAAAAAGAAGACGGCAATGAAGAGATTCCCTCATAGCTGGTGGAGCTGGAGGCTTGTCAGCAGCTCACTGCAGCTCCTTCCTCCTGCCAGATTCCCAATCAGCTGCTCCTCCTGAGGAGCCCAGGCGCCTCATTTCAGTCCTGACATCAAAACACAAAAACAAAAAAGCAACAAAATAAATAAATAAATCACTTTTTAAGAAGATTCCAACTAAAAAGCGTGCAATGGCGTGAGGCTGTTTCTTCTCATGATCTTATTCAAACCTCAGGAGTGAAGAGGAGAGAAATCAGAAGGAGAGGAGGCAAAAAGATCAGGAACTACAGCCTTCCTCCTCCTCTTCCTCCGCCGCTCCGCTCACTGACAGCAGCACAGAGAGTCTGCTGCTGCCGCGGTGCGGGAGCCGGGCTGTGTGCGCGCGCGTGAGGGAGAGAGAAGGAGAGAGAGAGGTAGAGAAAGGGAGAGGAGCTCTTACGTCACCGACACTGTCAACAGGAGCACGCACGCGCCAACACGCCTGTGTGAAAGCGGTGTGTGTGTGTGGGCTTTCGGTCTGCTGCGGTCCAAAGTAGTTCCAGAGTTTCTCTGAAACAGTTTTAATGGAGACCAGCTCCTCAGATGTTTCCTTCTGCTCCCATCAGGGATGGAGATGCTCCTCTGCTCCTTCATCTGCTCACATCAAGCTTCCCCTGCGATCGTTTCTTTGTGGTTGTTGTAAAAGTCACCACTAGGCGGCAGTAAAGACTGGATGTATCTGATTTCCCTCCTTCTCCTTTTAGTTCCTGCTCCTTATCTCTTCCTCTCACGTTCGCAGCCCCTCATCGTGTCACTTTATTGACAGACCATTATCATCAGAGGAATGAGAGTCGTACATTGGGCTGGGAAAAGAGCACTTCTGTCCTGCTCAAGGCCCGGTGCCGGAGGAAACACAGATCCAGCCCTTTTCTAATTAAAGAAGAAGAAAAGCCAGATTGTTTGTGATACATGTCCTTTGTTTCTGCACACATACCCAGAAAACATTTCATAAGAAGCAGTCAAAGGAAACCAAACACAAAAAGACATTTTATCTCCAGGCTCAAAGCTTCAGTAAGGATTTGCTCAGCTTCCCAGAGGTGTTCAGCTCAATGGCTGACATGTAGTCAGTTTCACAACCACAGAATTAGAGTTTTAGTCCCACTGAACATTAATTAACACTGAACGTTACAGCAGCATGCAGAATACACAGCAGAACAGATCACATGTTAGAATGGCCCAGTCAAAGGGACGATCCATGGAGAATTTTCCATATAACTGCTGCTCTTCATCCAGTAGAAGTTGAGCTGTTTCACAGAAGCCATTTCTCAATTCACAAGAACACAAGAACAGACTTGTGTTCTCGCTAAGCACATACATGACAAGAACATAGCAAAGTAGGGATTTGTGTTCTTGCCTCTGTCCCCGGTGATATCATGAGTTAATGAGGAGCAGACAGCTCTAAGGGATCAGTGGCGGTGGAGAGATCAGGCCCAGAGGACAGGAACCAGCAGCAAACTGGAGCTGATTTTAGAACATTTTGGCTACAAGCTGCTAAACCAGCCTAACTCCTTAAATAGTCTGACGAAACATCAAATCAATTTAGTTTATTTCTATGGCGCCAATTCACACCACGTCATCGCAAGGAACTTTTCAGTTCACCAGATGTTACAGTTAAATTGATTCAAAGTTTACTATCTAATCAAAACCAGTTGATTGCGTCGACTCATTGACTCAACAGCAATCCCTCACACTTAGCATGCATTTGGCGACAGTGGAGAGGAAAAACTCCCTTTTAACAGGAAGAAACCTCCAGCAGAACCAGGCTCAGTGTGAGCGGCCATCTGCCGAGGCCGACTGGGGTTCAAGGAGACAGAAGCAGAGATACAAAAGGCAACTGTAAACCAGCTCCACAGGCGGCCCCGTCCAGGAAACACACAGCCAGGCAGACGAGCTCTGAGCCAGCTCCCATGTCAGAGGATGAAGAGAGCACATCCAGCTATTCACAGTCAGAGAAACAGGACTACACTGGAAAACAGGCCGATCTCCAACATCTATAAACAGAGTTGTTGATGGCAGCAGCACAGCTGATATTTCTCTCCAGGATGGAGTCACAGCCAAACAGGAACAGACCAGATGAAGCTACTATGAGAAAAAGCAGAGAGAGCAGAACGTTAGAGATTGAACTAACAGATTCTGCAGAGTATATAGCGATATGAATAGAGATAAAATAAAGCATTCAGATTATTTTGGGTTGATGATCTAAAGACACATTAGTTTGTAGCCTGTGCTAAATGAGCATAACTAAAATTTGAAGAGGATCCTCTATCAGGCCCTCAACCTTCACATATTTATAATAGCCTCTGTTTGTTAAGCACTTTAATAGCAGGCTTCAGGTTGTTTTTTACAGATTAATAAGTTCAAAATGTATGAAAACATGTTTGGAAAGAATATGTTTTCTTTATCAGTTGATCATCATTGAGTCAGAATAGCTGGCAGTTAAAGAACCTCAACAGACCAATAAAGAGTCTATGAGCCAGATGGAAGGAAGAGAAAAGCCCCATGTGGTTGATTAACAGCTCCCTGGTCAATGTTCCCACACCCAACCCCACCCTATTACCGCCACGCCATCCAGTCACAGTACTGGTTACACCTACCTGGTTTTCATCCTTCATTCCTTCATCTTGTTCTTTCTTTTCCTCCTCCTGTCTTGTTCCCAGAAGACCCCTTGATCAAGATCTCCATCAGTTTCACCATCAATGAACTCAACCTGTTTAACCTTCTGCTGAGAGACGCTGTGTGTGTGGATGTAGCTTTTAAACAGGACCAGGACCAACTAACCGAAACACTGAGCTGCTGCGCTGAAAGAACTGAAGTCTTTACCTCTGCTGTTCACCTTAAAAAGCAGCTTGGTTCAGAAAGGAATGACCAGAGCTGTCCTCAGCTGACCTCAGGGTACAGATGAGGTTCTACCCTTCCAGCATGAAGGGCAGCACCAAGCCACTAATTGAGGTTTGGTGTCTAACTTTGCTTCACTTTCTGAAGGGCAGATGTCAGTGTGTGCAGGAGGGTTATGGGACCTCAGAGGAAATGTGGAGGGTTCACCACCCCGTAGCTGCTTTGTTGTAGCCTGAATGAGAACTCTAAGCAGGCTTTGACAGGAGGTCAGATACAAGGGAGCGAAGGTGAGGGCATTTATTTCCAAGCTGGTGGCTGACATAAGCCGCCAGTGCCCGACTGCAAAAACTCCCCAGTTTCTATAGAGTAGAGGGGCTTTAGCGGTGTGGTCATAAAGACACCCACCTGCTCTCACATTGTCATTCTAATGATATTAGGGAGGATAATGATGATGGAGATAGGTGCATATGATGATGACAGTGACATCAGGCTTCTGCGTTTATTGTTTTATTGAGAAGGATGAGCGCCTCAGATTTCAGCTGTGATAGATGGGCTGGCAGTGTGTTGAAGGGAGAAGTCTGCAGGTTTCCACATGAGGCCAGCTGGGTATTTATTGTCAGAGCTTGGCTGCAGAGCACATTTGTCAAGTCAATCACGGCCCTCTGAGGGCCAGGCGGCTGAGGGAGGGGAGGAGAGTCCAGAACAAGGTATGACTGAGCTCCACACTTGAAACTTTGCACACACTTTAAATGAATGCAAATCTTTTTAAAAGAAACTTGAACACAAAATGCAGTAAATAACAACTATTTCAAATATTCATGGCCCGCTGTTTCATTCATATTTAAACAGCTGCAACACAGTGCATTCTTTAAAGATTTTAAAGTTTAAAAACCTACCAGAGGAGGAAGGCTGCAGCTCTAATGTTGAGAAAATTGATTCTTTAGCCAAATGATTGTAATCTACTAGTTTAAGACCAGTTAATAGAAAATCAGGACTCTTGCTGCTGATCTGTGCATATCAACACTGACAGATTTACTTTTGACAATTATAGGCATTCACAGTATGAAAGGATAGATGGATGGATGGATGGATGGATGGATGGATGGATGGATGGATGGATGGATGGATGGATGGATGGATGGATGGAAGGATAAACATCCTGGTTTCCATGGCAGGGACCAAGAGACTAAACAGCCTGCAGAACAATTGTTAATTTGTCCTCCAACCTTTTGTTCTTCAGAGATTCTATATTGTGCTCTGAGCCATACAGAAAATTGAAAAACCACTGCCCAACAGTTAGTGTGGGTCAAAAAAAATGTATTGGGAGAACCAGGAATACAGTTTTTCTGGGATTATAGAATTGGATTTTTCACATTTTTAAATGTGATTAGCTTTTCTATGCTGCCAAAAAATACAGTGTAGCCAACACGTAGATCCGGCAGCAAAAAATATTCCTGCGCCTGTGTTAATAGGTCTATAACCAGCAAGACCATCTCTAATAATTGCAGCTGAGTCACAAAACGCAAAAATACCAATGCTGGTCTGGTCATCACAAAAATCAGAATCTGCTGTTTACTGAGTCCAGTATTAAAACCATTAATTTATTAAAATGTTGTCTCATGAACCTGAACATTGTACAATTCAGAACAAAATTAGGAGATGCAAAAGTTTTATAGAAAATAATGTTTATAAAGATGAAATAAGGAATGCTTTTAAGAGATTTGTAGATAGATGTAAAAAAGCTCTTTTAATTTAGCTCTGGAAAGACTGTTTCTTCATCCTACCTCCAGCACAGATACAAATTAGCTGCTGCTGCCTTGCTCAGTCTGACTGGTGGGGCTCTTTTGATCCTTAACTATCTTCCTTCCACCTCCAACAGTTAACGGCTAGAGGCTAGCCTTGAGCTGCCACGGCCTCTTCCTGCTTTATCTTTCTAGCAGACTTCTCCAAAGTACCTCTTTTCTCCTCCTGGCCCTCTGCAGCCCCCATCTTCTGCTTTCACTTCTCTGTTTTCCCAGAATTGTCCGATCCTCAACTGACGTAGTTAGCCTCCATAGATACCCAAGGCCAGTTTTAGCCTCTCCCACCCTTCATTTTGAACAAAAGACTTCTTTGATCTACCGCTGTGCTTCTCAGCATTTTTCCTGAGCTAGCACTGGCAGGCTGCCACCTATACATTGTGGTTCCTCAGTTACAGAGGGGGCATTTTTCCTGAGCTAGCACTGGCAGGCTGCTGCCTATACACACTGGTTCCTTAGCTCTGGAGGGGGACACAACTAGCCGCCTAGTTCTGGTTCTGGAGCAGCTACTGGCACTTGAAATCAGCTGTGGCCAAAACCAAGAATTGCCGCAGCAAGAGTAAAACATTAACAAACGAGATAGCCATGATGACTATATAGGATATTTGGTCCTGAATATCTCTGAATAGGGTGTGTAATTTGTTGG